CAAAGAGTTGGAAGAGACCTCCTGGGCCATCCAGTCCAACCCCTGCCAAGAAGCAGGAATATTGCATTCAAATCACCCCTGACAGATGGCCATCCAGCCTCTGTTTAAAAGCTTCCAAAGAAGGAGCCTCCACCACACTCCGGGGCAGAGAGTTCCACTGCTGAAGCTCTCACAGTCAGGAAGTTCTTCCTAATGTTCACATGGAGTCTCTTTACCTGTAGTTTGAAGCCATTGTTCCGCGCCCTAGTCTCCAGTGCAGCAGAAAACAAGCTTGCTCCCTCCTCCCTATGACTTCCTCTCACATATTTATACATGGCTATCATGTCTCCTCTCAGCCTTCTCTTCTTCAGGCTAAACATGCCCAGTTCCCTAAGCCGCTCCTCATAGGGCTTGTTCTCCAGACCCTTGATCATTTTAGTCGCCCTCCTCTGGACACATTCCAGCTTGTCAATATCTCTCTTGAATTGTGGTGCCCAGAATTGGACACAATATTCCAGATGTGGTCTAACCAAAGCAGAATAGAGCATGGGGAGCATGACTTCCTTAGATCTAGACACTATGCTCCAGTAAGCGACAAAATATGAAGTATACAGTAGGCAGAACAAAGGAAGTAGAAAAGTAAACAGCTGCTTGGCTGTTTGGCAGATATCAGATACTCCCTAATTTTTTTCACAACTCAGCTCAGAGTATCTCAGGGCTACTATCTCACAGCCTCAAACATAAACATACATCACAGCAATATAATCTTATGGCATCCATATTACAACTACATGAAATTACATTTAAAACACATTACATATTTTGACATATTCTGACAATATGCACTCCCCAGTGAAATCAGAGCGACTCCATCTCTCCTCTCCTTCAGGAAAAAACTCAAGCCTTGGCTCTGGGACCAAGCATTCGAGCAGCTGGCTGAGCATCAGCTATAATGACTTGTGAGAATTCTCAATGAAGAGACCTTGGACTGGACGGGATTCGCAGATTCAGACTTGGTTGCGTTAATATTTTTTGTTGTTGTTGTTGTTCATTCGTTCAGTCATCTCCGACTTTTCGTGACCTCATGGACCAGCCCACGCCAGAGCTCCCTGTCGGCCGTCACCACCCCCAGCTCCTTCAAGGTCAGTCCAGTCACTTCAAGGATGCCATCCATCCAGATTAAAATGGTCCGCCCTAGGAGACTGACGGATCCGGATGGATTCCTGAGGAATCTTGGGGCTCTTCCTGCCTTGGAGCCTGGCGATTCCATCGACGCCTTGGTGACTCTCTATAATGGGGAGATGTCCAGGGCGTTAGATGTGATCGCACCCGAACGCCCCATCTCGTTGCGTCGTGACAGGCCATCTCCCTGGTTCACCGGGGAGCTGACTGTGATGAAGCATGCGAGAAGGGGGCTAGAGCGCAAATGGAGGAAATCTCGGGTCGTGTCTGATCGAGCACGGGCTAAAGCCTCTCTTAAGGCATACTCCGTGGCTATACGGGTGGCCAGGAAATCATTCACGACCACTCGTATAGCGTCTGCAGCAAATAGATCGTCGGAGCTGTTTCGGGTCGTGGGGGAACTCCTCCACCCACCTGTGGTGGAGGAGCTCACTGATGACCCAGCAGCTCGGTGTCGCGATTTCGCACACCATTTTGCAGGTAAAGTCGCTCAGATACGCCTTGAGCTCGACTCCAATTCCATCGCAGTGCCTGAAGAGGTGACGGAGGCATCTGCTTGTCCAATTTTGTGGGATTCTTTTAGGCTTGTTCTTCCTGAAACCGTAGAGGAGGTTCTTGGGGCTGTGAGGGCGACCACCTCACCTCTAGACCCATGCCCATCTTGGCTCATTAAATCAGCCAGGGAGGGGTTGGTTGACTGGTTTGTATTGATTGTCAATGCATCGTTGGAGCAAGGGATTTTTCCATCTGGTTTGAAACAGGCTGTGGTTCGTCCACTCCTCAAAAAGGCGTCCCTTGACTCCACGGTGCTGAGTAACTACAGACCAGTCTCCAACCTCCCTTTCTTGGGTAAGGTGCTGGAGCGAGTGGTCGCCTCGCAGCTCCAGAGCTTCCTAGACGATACCAACTACCTAGATCAGTCACAGTCTGGTTTCAGGCCTGGTCATGGCACCGAGACAGCCTTGGTCGCCTTGGTGGATGACCTCCGCAGAGAGCTGGACAGGGGGAGTGTGACCCTGCTGGTTCTCTTGGACATCTCAGCGGCTTTCGATACCATTGATCATGGTATCCTTCTGGGTCGTCTCTCTGGGATGGGCCTCGGGGGCGCGGTTCTGTCGTGGCTCCGGTCCTTCCTGGAGGGACGAACCCAGATGGTGAAGCTGGGAGACGCCTGCTCTGACCCCTGGCCTTTGACCTGTGGGGTCCCGCAAGGCTCTATTTTGTCGCCCATGCTTTTCAACATCTACATGAAACCGCTGGGAGAGGTCATCCGGAGTTTTGGAGTTAGGTGCCATCTCTACGCAGATGACACACAACTCTACTACTCCTTTCCACCTAATTCCAAGGAGGCCTCTCGGGTGCTGGACGAGTGCCTGGCCGCTGTGTCGATCTGGATGAGGAAGAGCAAGCTGAAGATCAATCCCGACAAGACAGAGGTCCTCCTGGTCGATCGAAAACCGGACCGGGGTATAGGGTGGCTACCTGTGCTGGACGGGGTTACACTCCCCCTGAAGTCTCAGGTCCGCAGTTTGGGTGTCCTCCTGGATTCTTCGCTCACACTTGAGGCTCAGGTGTCGGCGGTATCCGGGAGGGCCTTTGCACAATTGAGACTTGTGCGCCAACTGCGACCGTACCTCGTGAAGGCTGATCTGGCCGGGGTGGTCCACGCCTTGGTCACCTCTAGAATGGATTACTGCAATGCGCTCTACGTGGGGCTGCCCTTGAAGACGGCTCGGAAACTTCAATTGGTCCAGCGGGCAGCAGCTAGGATGCTAACTGGAGCTCATTATCAAGAGAGGTCTACCCCTCTGTTTAAGGAGCTCCACTGGCTGCCATTTATTTTCCGAGCCCAATTCAAGGTGCAGGTGCTCACCTACAAAGCCCTGAACGGTTTGGGACCACCCTACCTGCGTGACCGCATCTCCATCTACGAACCCACACGCTCGCTCCGGTCATCTGGGGAGGCCCTGCTCGTGATCCCACCTACGTCGCAAGCGCGCTTGGTGGGGACACGGGACAGGGCTTTCTCTGTGGCGGCCCCCCGACTTTGGAATGCCCTTCCAAAAGAGCTTCGTCAGGCCCCTACTCTAGCAGTTTTCAGAAGGAACCTAAAAACTTGGCTGTTCCGATGTGCCTTCGCAGATTAGGAATCCCCCATCCCAAGTCCTTGAAGCACTTTAGCACAACCAATGTTGCTGCACACCGCACTTTTAATCCTACGTTCCTCCTGCCATCTCAGCACTTTTACCCTGTACCCCATTGCGCCGGCCGAACCAGTTTTAATAGTGTCTTGATGTATTGATGTATCGTCATTGTTGTTATTTTGCTTAATTGTTGATTTGCTTTGTTTTATTGTTGTGTTATGTTTTCTATTGTATTGTGTTTTGAGGCTTCGGCCTGTGTAAGCCGCATCGAGTCCTTCGGGAGATGCTAGCGGGGTACAAATAAAGTTAATAATAATAATAATAATAATAATAATAATCTTGCCCTTGATCAGCCCCTCTTCCTTTTACCTTCCACTTTCCCCAGCATAATTGTCTTCTCCAGGCTTTGCTGTCTCCTCATGATGTGGCCAAAGTTTTATTTTAAGGTGCACAAAGTATTATGTTATTGATTTTGAAACTTCAAATATGACGTCATATGACAGGTTTATTACTTAGAAACACAATATAGAAGAAATTTGTGGGACATTATGATTCATTCGGATTTTATAACATGGAAGACAGACCCCCAAGAAACAATTAAGGGAAACTTTGCATGCAGGCATTGGGACTGCTGTAGCCAAATGTTAAACACAAAGTATTTCACACATCCAACTAGTAATATCACAGTTTCCCTACAAGATCATACAATGTGCTCTTCAGAGAATGTAATATATGCGATTCAATGTCCCTGCAACCTATTGTACATTGGGATGACCACCAGGCCCCTGAGAACTAGAATGTATGAACACCGTTCTCGGATTAAGAATGGGAATACTGACTCCCCCTTATATATGCACTTTAGGGAAAAGGCACACTCAAGTTGCAGTTTCAGGTTCTGTGCTTTGGAAAAACTACACACCAGACCTCATTTAGATATGAAGAAACTACTTTTAATAATGTTTTGTTGAAGGCTTTCATGGCCGGAATCACTGGGTTGCTGTACATTTTTTGGCTGTCTGGCCATGTTCCAGCAGCATTCTCTCCTGAAGTTTTGCCTGCACCTGTGGCTAATGGCACCTTCAGAGGTTCTCTTGGCAGTGAAGAAAGTGGTGTATATATTCCTGTGGAATATCCAGTGTGGGAGAACGAACCCTTGTCTATTTGAAGCAAGTGTAAATGTTGCAATTAGCAAGTTTGAATTAGCATTCGCGTAGACATGAAGTCTTCGGAGTCAATCAGTGAGGATATCTGCAGAGAGGTGGCCTGGCCTCTGTTGCCTGGAGGAAACCTCCGTTTTGGGAGGTGTTAACTGGCACCTGATTGCTTGCTGTCTGGAGTTCTCATGTTTCTGAGTGCTGGACACAGAATCTTATTTGAAAAAGCAGAAATGCTGGGCCATTCATACCTACTTCAAGCAGACAAGGGTTCTTTCTCCCACCCTGGACATTATTCCACAGGGATAGAGACACTCCACTTGCTTCATTGTCCAACAGAACCTCTAAAGACCTTGATGTTTGCATTTCTGGCTATTTCCACTTTCAACATGACCCATGAAGGGAAAGGAGGAAATTGTGGAGGTAAAGAAAGTTTTTCACCTTCATCCTTGATCTTTTGCTTCTTTCTTAACCAGGGAAATGAGGATTCTATAGAGCCACCCTTTGGATGCAGCAATGAAATCAATCCTATAGGAAGAACCTCTCTCCATGTAAGGGTCTTGCTGAAATCTTGACCTCACATACAGACAAGGAAGGAAAAAAAGAAGACTGAAGGATCTGTATTGCAATTAAACACCCATATCATGGCTGACGTGGAGGAGAAAGCATTTATATGCCTGGAATGTGGGAAGAGTTTCACTTGGAGGTGTGATCTGAAGCGACATCAAAGGACTCACACAGGGGAGAAACCATATACATGCCTGGAGTGTGGAAAGAGCTTCGCTCAGAGATCATTTCTACGTTTACATCAAAGGATTCACACTGGGGAGAAACCCTATACATGCCTGGAGTGTGGAAAGAGCTTCACTCACAGTTCAAATCTACATTCACATCAAAGGATTCACACTGGGGAGAAACCCTATACATGCCTGGAGTGTGGGCAGAGCTTCACTCAGAGTTCAGGTCTACGATTACATCAAAGGATTCACACGGGAGAGAAACCCTATACATGCATGGAGTGTGGGCAGAGCTTCTCTCAGAGTTCAATTCTACGTTCACATCAAAGGATTCACACTGGGGAGAAACCCTATACATGCCTGGAGTGTGGAAAGAGCTTCACTCACAGTTCAAATCTACATTCACATCAAAGGATTCACACCGGGGAGAAACCCTATACATGCCTGGAGTGTGGGCAGAGCTTCACTCAGAGTTCAGGTCTACGATTACATCAAAGGACTCACACTGGGGAGAAACCCTATACATGCCTGGAGTGCGGGCAGAGCTTCATTACAAGTGGAAGTCTATGTTCACATCAAATGATTCACATTGAGGAGGAACCCTATACATGCTTGGAGTGTGGAAAGACCTTCACTCATCATTCAGGTCTACGCTCACACCAAAGGACTCACACTCGGGAGAAACCCTATACATGCCTGGAGTGTGGAAAGAGCTTCACTCAGAGTGGAAGTCTACGTTCACATCAAAGGATTCACACTGGGGAGAAACCCTATACATGCCTGGAGTGCGGGCAGAGCTTCACTCAGAGTGCACATCTACGTTCACATCAAAGGACTCACACTGGGGAGAAACCCTATAAACACATGGTGTGTGGGAAAAGCTTCTCTGAGAGTAGAAATCAACATAGACATGGAATCCACACTGGAGAGAACAGTGGTGTTTGACCCCAAAGAGAGTTTCCCAGATAGAGCTTTCCAGACTTTTCATGTTGGTGAAACACTTTTTAGACATGCATCATTTTGTGACACAGTAATTTAGTTTAACTAGCAAACCAGAGGTTAAACAACCTCATATAAGATATTCAATATAATACTATATTATATAATACTAGCTGTACCCAGCCACGTGTTGCTGTGGCCCATTTTGGAGAAATAGGAAAGAAAGAAAAGAGGAAGAGCTGGTTTCTAATCTATCAATACACAACTGAAGTGGCAAAGTGTCAACGTAATATAGGCGCATTTCCAACTCCTTGAGGCCAAAGGGTTATATGGATGTGTGGAAGGGCTCTGCGTTGCCTGAGTCTACACTGCCATATAACCCAGTTCAAATATATTATATAGATATTATTTTTGTTGTTATTATTATAGACATATTATTATAGGCATATAGATATTATTTTTATTGTTATAGATATATAGATATTATTATTATAGACATAGATATTATAGGCATATAGGTATTACTATTATAGATGTATAGATATTATTGACAGACAGATATAATTATAGACATATAGATATATTATTGGCATATAGACATTATTATTACAGACATACATAGAATCATAGAATCATAGAATCAAAGAGTTGGAAGAGACCTCATGGGCCATCCAGTCCAACCCCATTCTGCCAAGAAGCAGGAATATTGCATTCAAATCACCCCTGACAGATGGCCATCCAGCCTCTGTTTAAAAGCTTCCAAAGAAGGAGCCTCCACCACACTCCGGGGCAGAGAGTTCCACTGCTGAACGGCTCTCACAGTCAGGAAGTTCTTCCTAATGTTCAGATGGAATCTCCTCTCTAGTAGTTTGAAGCCATTGTTCCGCGTCCTAGTCTCCAAGGAAGCAGAAAACAAGCTTGCCTCCCTCCTCCCTGTGGCTTCCTCTCACATATTTATACATGGCTATCATATCTCCTCTCAGCCTTTTCTTCTTCAGGCTAAACATGCCCAGTTGCCTAAGCCGCTCCTCATAGGGCTTGTTCTCCAGACCCTGAATCATTTTAGTCGCCCTCCTCTGGACACATTCCAGCTTGTCAATATCTCTCTTGAATTGTGGTGCCCAGAATTGGACACAATATTCCAGGTGTGGTCTAACCAAAGCAGAATAGAGGGGTAGCATTACTTCCCTAGATCTAGACACTATGCTCCTATTGATGCAGGCCAAAATCCCATTGGCTTTTTTTGCCGCCACATCACATTGTTGGCTCATGTTTAACTTGTAGTCCACGAGGACTCCAAGATCTTTTTCACACGTACTGCTCTCGAGCCAGGCGTCACCCATTCTGTATCTTTGCATTTCATTTTTTCTGCCAAAGTGGAGTATCTTGCATTTGTCACTGTTGAACTTCATTTTGTTAGTTTGGCCCATCTCTCTAATCTGTCAAGATCGTTTTGAAATCTGCTCCTGTCCTCTGGACTATTGGCTATCCCTCCCAATTTGGTGTCGTCTGCAAACTTGATGATCATGCCTTCTAGCCCTTCATCTAAGTCATTAATAAAGATGTTGAACAGGACCGGGCCCAGGACGGAACCCTGCGGCACTCCACTTGTCACTTCTTTCCAAGATGAAGAGGAAGCATTGGTGAGCACCCTCTGGGTTCGTCCATTTAACCAATTACAGATCCACCTCACCGTAGTTTTGCCTAGCCCACATTGGACTAGTTTCCTTGCCAGAAGGTCATGGGGGACCTTGTCGAAGGCCTTACTGAAATCCAGGTACGCTACATCCCCGGCATTCCCCGCATCTACCCAGCTTGTAGCTCTATCGAAGAAAGAGATCAGATCAGTCTGGCATGACTTGTTTTTGATAAATCCATGTTGACTATTAGCGATGACTGCATTTGTTTCTAAGTGTTTGCAGACCGCTTCCTTAACAATTTTCAGGAAGCGGTCTGCAAACACTTAGAAACAAATGCAGTCATCGCTAATAGTCAACATGGATTTATCAAAAACAAGTCATGCCAGACTCATCTGATCTCTTTCTTCGATAGATATTATAGACATCTAGATATTGTTATAATACAGATATTATAGACATCTAGATATTGTTATAGACATATAGATATCATAGACATATATGCATATATATGTAGATTATAAACTTACAGATATTACTATGATAGATATATAGATATTATTATTGTAGATATATTATACCCCGGGGTTGCTATAAAGTAAAAATGGATGGCCATCTTTCGGGAATGTTTTATTTATTTATTTACAGCGTTTTTACCCCGCCCTTTCAACCTGCGGGGGGAGGGGGGGAGACAGGACTCAGAGTGGCTAACAAAGGCAGCAACTCGATGCCACAATCAATAACACATTATAAAACCATAAATACATACAGAGTTAAAACAATAAAAGTTAATTATAACCAAATTATCATAACAGTAACATTTTGATTGTGCCTTCCTGAACAGACTTTCCTAACTCACAGAGCATACGTTTATGTTTAGGTTCTTGTGGGTTTTTTCGGGCTATAGGGCCATGTTCTAGAGGTATTTCTCCTGACGTTTCGCCTGCATCTATGGCAAGCATCCTCAGAGGTAGTGAGGTCTGTTGGAAATAGGACAATGGGTTTATATATCTGTGGAATGGCTGGGGTGGGGCAAAGAGCTCTTCTCTGATGGAGCTAGGTGTGAATGTTTCAATTGACCACCTTCTCATTTCTACATGGAACACTTTGAAAAACAAGCCCTGGAAACAGCAACCAAAAAGCCCACCATATGGTTCGGATATGTGGATGACACCTTCACCATTTGGAGCCATGGAGAAGAAGAACTCAACAGGTTCCTGGACCATCTGAACAGCATCCAACAACAACATGGTTCAGATATGTGGATGACACCTTCACCATTTGGAGCCATGGAGAAGAAGAACTCAACAGGTTCCTGGACCATCTCAACAGCATCCACCCAAACATATGGTTCAGATATGTGGATGACACCTTCACCATTTGGAGCCATGGAGAAGAAGAACTCAACAGGTTCCTGGACCATCTTAACAGCATCCACCCAAACATCCAGTTCACCATGGAAAAAGAAAATGAAGGAAGACTGCCTTTTCTAGATGTCCTAGTCATCCGCAAACCAGATCAACAATTGGGTCACACCGTCTACAGAAAACCCACACACACAGATAGATATCTACATAAAAACTCCAACCATCACCCAAGTCAAAAAAGAAGCCCCATTAAAGCCTTGGCAGACCGTGCAAAAAGAATCTGCGAAGCCCACCTCCTCCAAGATGAACTGAACCACCTCAACTGGGCTCTCCAGGCCAATGGAGACTCCACCTCAGACATCAGAAGAGCTGCAAGACCAAGAACAAGCCACGAGAGTCAAGATGAAGATCCACCCAGAGGAAAAGTGTTCCTGCCATACATCAAGGGAACCACTGACCGCAGAGGGAAACTGATGAGGAAACACAACATACAAACCACCTACAAACCCACCAAGAAAATCCAACAAATGCTACGTTCAGCAAAGGACAAGAGGGATCCTCTCACCTCTGCAGGAGTCCACCGTGTACCATGCAGCTGTGGACAAGTCTACATGGGGACCACCAAACGCAGCAGCATTGCCCAAACACGACTCAAGGAACATGAAAGGCACTGCAGACTAACTCAACCAGAGAAATCAGCCATAGCAGAGCACCTGATGAACCAGCCTGGGCACAGCATATTATTTGAGAACACAGAAATGGTGGACCACACCAACAACCACCATGTCAGACTACACAGAGAAGCCATTGAGATCCACAAGCATGTGGACAATTTCAACAGCAAGGAAGAGACCATGAAAATGAACACAATCTGGCTACCAGTATTAAAAAACTCTAAAACTACAACAGCAAAACAGCAGAGAGGAAACAACCAGGCACATCTTAACACCTCTCAACAAAAGATTTTCCCAGGCTCAGGCAGGCCTTCAAATGTTAATGAAGGTGGTCAGTTGAAACATTCACACCTAGCTCCAGCAGAGAAGAGCTCTTTGCCCCACCCCAGCCATTCCACAGATATATAAACCCATTGTCCTAATTCCAACAGACCTCACTACCTCTGAGGATGCTTGCCATAGATGCAGGCAAAACGTCAGGAGAAATACCTCTAGAACATGGCCCTATAGCCCGAAAAACCCCACAAGAACCTAGTGATTCCAGCCATGAAAGCCTTCGACAATATGTTTTTGTCCTTCCTTTGAATACTGGACTTCATTTTCCAAAATTCCTTCCCATAACTCAATATGGACGAGCTTTCTTGGCACACACACACACACACACACACAGAATCCCTCCTGTGTGAGTTTCCAGCAGCCCAGCAGAGGCACCTCCATGCTGCTGACAGCCAAGACCCAAGAGGGAAAGGAAAGGAATGGGAGGAAAGGTAGGGAGTGGATCTGGAGGAGGGTGTCGTCTCTCTCTCTCCCTCCTTCTCTCCCTCCCTCTCTCTGAATCCTTTGGGAAAAGAGAGGCAGGGGTAGCAAGAGGGATATAGGGGCCACCTTTCCCTCCCTCTCTCAAGCTGTCTCTCAGTTGTTGGTTTTTTCCCCCTCATGCAGGAGGGAGGAGCAGGGCAGGGTGTTCTTTTAACGCATGCTCTGTATAGTCATTTAGCTTTGTAGGAGTTTAAGTTCTTTCCAGTTAATTTTTTTGAGTGAAGGACATACATTGCTTTAGTTGGTGTCTTGTGTCCAAATTTGGTATCAATTAGTCCAGTGGTTTTTCTATTAATTCCCACAAACGAACATTACATTTTTATTTATATATAGATGATAATATAGAGCAGTGGTTCTCAACCTTCCTAATGGCGTGACCCCTTACTACAGTCCCCCATGTTGTGGTGACCCCCAACCACAATATTGTTTGCATTGCTACTTCATGTCATTTTACTACTGTTATAAATCATAATGTAAATATCTGATATGCAGGAGGCATTTTCATTCACTGGACCAAACTGGGCACAAATACCCAATACACCCAAATGTGAATGCTAGTGGGGTTGGGGGAGGATTGATTTTGTAATTTGGGAGTTGTAGTTGCTGGGATTTATAGTTCACTTATAATCAAAGAGCATTCTGAACTCCACCAGCGATGGATTTGAACCAAAACTTGGCTCCCATGACCAATGGAAAACACTGGAAGGGTTTGATGGGCATTGACCTTGAGTTTGGGAGTTGTAGTTCACCTATATCCAGAGAGCACTGTGGACTCATGCAATGGTGGATCTGGACCAAACTTGGCATGAATACTCAATATGCCCAAATGTGAACACTGGTGGAGTCCGGGGAAAATAGATCTTGACATTTGGGAGTTGTAGTTGCTGGGATT